ACTTAATGGACCGAAACATTTCTTACCTAATTTAATACTACTTCTTTTTTACATCTTCCCCTCTTTCACCTTTTTTATTTTTTCTATCATCCTTTCCTACACTTTTCAACAAAATTTTCATCCAACCTCAAATGCGCTCCCTGCACTGCATAGATGCAAAAAATGCGTAAAGAGGAGCTCGGAATTGGAATGTTTCGATCAAAAATAAGATGTATTCCTGCCCCGCAATTATAATACTCTCATTGAAGCAAACACTCCTTCGCAGTGCCCCGGTTAATCTTTAGATCAAGTTGTTGAGGAACCGGCAACCGCAATCTCTTCCATCAAGACACTCTCACAATACGGCCAGAGAGCAGCTGGGCAATGCAACTGGGCAAATGGTCGCCCAAACCGCAACAGAACCTCACCTGATGAAACAAGTGAAAAGCATACCTCTCTACCGCAAAACTGTTGTTGATAGAGATGTTGGTTTCGGCGACCGGGACCGCAGAAGCCGCACGCACGAACAACGTTGCCAGCCCAAGCACCCTCCACCCAAACCCCATGCCGATTCAACCACCTGAAAAAACCCCCGGGATGAGAGAAGCCTCAAAAGCATGCTCCGACCAAACCACCACGAAACAGCGCCTATATTTTTTGACTTACACACACCCGGTCCATAGCCCCATCATTCCATCGGAAGCACATTTAGCGAGTTAGACTGCGTGTAACATAGCTCTACTGCGAAAACGAGGTTTCTGGACGAAACAAACTTTATCAATTTGCCCTCAGGTAAACAAGAACGCTGAATGAAGAGGGAACATCAAACGAGGGACGAACTTCTAAAAAACACTGAACTGAAACAATAAACAAGAGGCAAAAAGACGGGTACAGCAGGAATTGCGATTTTGCACATTCCCGCATAAAACATCGTTTGATCCAAATTCTAAATAAAAACCGGTGCCTTATGTAGGAACACGTATAAAGTGATAATAGCAACGATGACAACGGAAGCAAATGTAATGTGATAATGATTATCGCCGGGAGGCAGTGACATTTCGAAAAGCTTTGAAAATTCTTCAGCTGAGGAATTTTAACG